ACAGATTCCATCTGACTTCCACTGTTGGATTTTCCATGAAGTGGGGTACAATTCAGTGTCTCTCCTGCAGAGAGGATAGGCACAAGGCCTAAACGCTGCTCATTACACTTATGTATTGTTTTGAGAGTGGCACAAGTGGCAATTGCATGTGATTTCAGCAAAAGAGTAGAATTTTCTCCATCAAGAGTAAAAATGGCAGAAACAGCACCCCTTATTATTAAACAAATTACACCAACAATGCACTTGCATCTGTTCTATGTTCTTGGGTAAGATTTTTTTAAAATACTTTAAAGATTCAGGAAACCTGAGAGGATTTATGACGTGTATTCCTCTGAAATGTGATATAAGAGTTACCTCTCCCTCAAGAATAATGATTTATAGGTTCAGAGCAGTTTTAGCATTATAAATTTTTAATTAACTGAGRCTTTAAATGCAGTTACTTTGAAAGGAAATAAAACTAGATGTTAATTTTAGATTAGGGAAAAATAATGATTTCCCAATTAATTATTAAAATTGATTGTTAATTTTAGAAACTTGTAGCAAATTGTTTTTAAAAGAAAATTTAAAGTTACAGGGAAATTCTATATTGTATTATTTTTCAAATTCTCTATTCATAAGCTGAAAAGTACATTTAAAATATTAAAGAAATCATACTAGAAAAGAAGATCACACTAGATATATATTTATTTCAGAGATCTGTACTCTTTTCTGTATGGGGGTCTTTCATAAACACTAACTCTATAAGACTCTGAATATCATACATTTTCCTTTAACACAGCCATATATATATGGTGCAATATGACAGCAGAGTAAGAGTGGCTTTTTGATTCTTGAGGTTTTTTTAAGGACTAAAATATCCATTTATTGCTGTGGTGAATTAAGATCTTCCAAACGCTTTCTACATTGCAAGAATAAGAGTGCAATATCAGATCCACAAATGTTGGAAACTAGCCTTGGGTTTCATGGCACTTCTTAGCAGTCAAAAAGAGACAGCAGGAGACTTTTTGTCTGCACTTAATGATATTAAGACACAAAGTTGTGTAGCAAACAGAATGTATTCAGTAATAATTATTTGTCTTGCATGCACCAAGGCAGACTCCTCTGCCTTTCTATGGCTTCCTTTTTAGTTCACATAGAATCATAGAATCATAGAATGCCGAAGGTTGGAAGGGACCTCAGA